AAAAAAAAAAAAAAAAAAAAAAAAAAAAAAAAAAAAAAAAAAAAAAAAAAAAAAAATTCAAAAATTTCAACATTCACTACCAGAGGAGAATGGCGCTGTATGCAATAGAGTTAAACAAATGTGAAATGTGCAAATTTGTTTTACACTTCATGTGACTTTGCCGTTATAAAAATGAGGCGCCTTGTCTGAGCTGTCAGTGTTCTGAGTCGACAATGTCTGTTACCATGCAAGACCGTGCTTTGCTCGTGAAATGTTACTATGAATGCGACAGTAATGAACGGAGGGCTTTACAAAAGTTCCGTACTGTAAGAAAAAAACGCCGAGGTCCAATGACACCGCAAGGTTTGCGGAAAATGATGGCAAAATTTCAAGCTACAGGTTTGTTATCTGTTGCACCTGGGCGCGGACGAAAATCTGTGTCTGTGGAAACCAAGGAGGCTGTTGCATTAGCAGTAGAGGAAGCAGCAATGGACACCAGACAGGGGACGTGCAGCGTAAGTGCTGTTGCACTTGGACTCGACTTACCATTGAGTACGGTGTACAAAAGTGTTGCAGTACTACCCTTACAAAATCAAACTTGTTCAACAACTTCAACCTATAGATCCGGCTTTAAGAGAAACATTTGCTTTGAGTTTTCTGGCACGGATGGAAGTGGACATCAATTGGCCATGGAACATTATGTGGACAGATGAGGCACATTTTTACTTAAATGGGGATATCAACACCCATAACTGCAGGATTTGGGCCAAAGAAATCCCTCATGTTATCCACGAAGTTCCATTACATTCGCCTAAAGTCACCGTTTGGTGCGGTATGACAGCAAATTTCATAATTGGACCTTTTTTCTTTGAAGACCCATCGGCAGCTGGGCCCGTGACATGCACTGTGACTGCTGCTCGCTTAGAATCGATGTTCAGATGTTTCGTGATACCAACTTCAGTAACGGGGCATTTTAGCCACCACGATCTTTATGCAGGACGGAGCTCCACCTCACATTGGTAGGTGTGTCAAACAGTTACTGCAGCAACATTTTACGAATGATCGTATTGTAGCTTGAAACTTCCCTATTTCTTGGCCACGCCGATCATCAGACCTCAACCCCTGTGACTTCTCGTTGTGGGGTTATCTCAAAGCCATTGTTTATGGTGATAACATAACCAATTTAGTGGAATTGAAGAATGCGATACACAGACATGTCCGTGACATTTCTCCAGATATGCTAGGAAGTACTGTTGAGAATGCAATATTGCGATTTAATTTGCTTTCAGAAAATGGCGGATGCCACATTGCGCATGCTTTGTAGCAACAATAAAACAATAAAAGTGTTTGCAATTGATGTTTCCTCTGTTATTTCGTTTAACCTTATTGCATACAGCGCCATTCACCGCTAGTGGTGAATTTTTTAACTTTTTTTTTTTTTTGCGAGTATATATGTGCATTTTTTTTGCCCTGTATATATGTGCATGTATATACTAGGACTGGGCGATATTGGAAATTATGTATCGTGATGCATCGTCAGTTTTGTATCGCGATATAGTGATGTATCGCGCTATAGTATTTTTGAATTTCATTTACTTGTAAGGCACAGAAAGTCAGATTTATATCAAAACTTCATACTCAGATTGATTTAAATCAATTTATAAATTTGAAGATATATATATATTTGCCTAAAGAAAGATATTAAATAAATTGACTACAATGTACAAATCTTACTTAAAATATTTATTGAAATGTTTGTTTAGAAATTCATAATACGAGTAAAACAAAGTGTTAAAAACTTTTTTTAAAGCGTTTTTTACAAATTAATATTTTCTTGTACTATTATGCATAAATAATTACATAATTAT